ATGATATTTGTGAGAAGTAGATAAGACAGAAAAAAATATTTAAGAACTTTAAGATGCAAGTTAAGCCATAAGCATCTTATAAAGTCTTGCAATGAATAATAGTTTCCCCATAATACTTACTTTATCATTTCAATAATCCAAATTTTTACCTTGAGTAATTTCATTTTGTTGGAGTTGATTCTGGATCATTTTTCGTCTTCTTAAATAAACTGTTTTTCGTACTGGTTACTTGTTGTTTAATCTTGTCCTGAAACAAATTTGAATTCACTCTTGATTATCAGTTGATTAGTTGATTAATGCGACAAATAAGTCAGAACTCAGTGTCACGAGTATTTTGATCTGCCTCTATCATCAGTGTAACCATGACCATGATTTTAGCTTAGTCATTGAGACAGTTGTCTCGTGCTGCTCTTTACTGCCCCCTGTGTGCGAGACTGAATATAACTGTTTTAAACATCTTTATCACTTTCACTTTCACTCTCTTCATAAAACATTATCAACATCGAACATTATTGCTGTTGATAATGTTGATATATTGTTGAATGTTAACATATTTATTTTATAAAGGAAAATTATCAAAATCGCATGTTATCACATATGGCTTTAGTCGTTTAGACTTGTCATTTAAATTATTGAGAGCTTTGACATCTGTGGTAACACGGTATTTAATCATTAGACCTAGCACTGTTTTAAACTTCTCCAAACACAATGAGAAACGAACAACACACTCTCTCACACACACAAATACACGAATATAACACATTAGTCTCTTGGCTGCAGACTGCGCCGGGTCTACATACCGCTCCTGCTGCTTCCTGTGTCTCAGAAGAATAGAATGAAAAACTCAAAATAAAAGTCCTTTCGCTTTTGGCGTGGCTCTATTTGAAATGGATCAATGGATTCATATAAAAATAAGTTATACCGCGAAGTTATAGTTTTTACACTGAATATCATTTTACATACATTTTCATTTACACACCTCAATAACACCCTTTCATACGAAGTAGCCTATGAATGTAACAAGTATTTTCCACATCACGCCACAAGTGTGCGTAAAAATAACAGTCTATGCTTTCAAACTAACATGGTAAACAATTCTGGTATTGACCATGCAGGCCTAATTGTTTACTTTCAGCAGCTTTTAGTATGAAGTCGCAACAAAGATTATACATCATATTAGTCTGATAAAGAGACGTTTATGGCCTCTGTTGCATTGTGCTGTTCTGAAATGGCATTTTAGTATAACACACTTCCATGCGAATTCCTCTTTCCTGTAAACAAAACCTGTAAATTCATGATAAAATATTGAGTTTATTCATTGGTTTTAAGAAATGCTGAATAAATAGTTCTGTTTCCCTTTTGAGGTCACTGCTATCATGACATTTTCCAGTCAGCAAACAACCATAAGAACTCATAATAAAATATATGTTGACTGGTTGGTTACACCTTAAATAGATTACCATTTTTGATCATCAAAAAATAAGCATAAAAAATATGGTAAATAAATGAAGCCAATATACTTTGTTCTGCTTGCTTTTATTGTCCAGGGTCTAGAACAAGTATACACATACACATGTATAAATATATATTGTATAAATATAATGTATAAATATATATATTGTATATTTATACATGTATATACTACTCTAAAAAAGATGGTTCTTTAAAGGTTCTGTACATGTAATAACAGTTCTATTCAGAACCATATCATCCTGACCCTGATATCACACGTACATCACGGAGATGTCTATTTGACGTCTACATTTACATCTGCAAGACATATTTTTTAGAGTTTTGCTCATCTGCAATACGTCTATAGGACGTTTCCTCTCAGATGTCAAATAGACGTTTACATTTAGTCATTTTGCAGACGTTTAGAAGATGTTTATGATTTAGAATGTATAATGTAAAACTGACATCTAAAAGATGTCTATGAGATGTTTGTACACAGCAGATGCTTTCCAGAGGAAGCGATCTTTAATAGACATCTTGCAGACGTACGTGTGCTATCTGGGGAAGAACACCTTTATGCTGAAATAGTTCTTTATGTTAGAGTTTAGGGGTCTTTATTCCCGCCTTTTTGATTTTAAACCTGTAGCTGTCAAAGCACCTCATTACTGATTTTCTGGAGCTCATCAATCCAACTACACAGACGATCAACACACTCTCAACATGTAAATGATTTCTTTCTTAAATTTAAACTGATTTCCACACAAACATGTTCTTTTCTCTTTTTAGTTTTTTGGTCACATGTAAGTGTGAGCATCTCTGTTAAGCTGAGGATACTTCTCTCCTCTTCTCCACTTAGTAAGTAACAAATGACATTGAATTTATAATCCATATTGTTAGATTTGTTTTTGTTTTTTTGTAATTATTACTTGGGTTTGTGCATAAACATACCCAGTCACAAAAACATTAAAGCGTGTTTTGTCTTTATCTTTATTTTTGTCTATGACTTTATATCACTTATTTCCTTTTAAGATTGTGAATGGCTCACATGCTCTCCGTTTTTGCTACTTTTGGCCTTGCGTGAACATAATTGTTTTTACATAAACAAATGGAAGAGGCTCACTGTAACTCTAAATTGAATTGTGTATTTCAGATGCATCACATCCCACAACCTCATTATCTGCAGAGAGAAACTGCTACTCAATCACACCAAAATGATGGACTTAAAGGCATCATAGATGATTGTGGAGATATTTCACTGGAACTTGTCTTCATCACATCTATTTTGTTTTACGTCTTTATGTATTTATTCCTGTTCAGTGTAAATAGTCATTTATTGACATATTCAGCTAATAACTGTTCTAAAGAGCACTAACATTTTTTCTACAATTTCACATCAATAAAAACTAGAAGTACCTAATTCACACATGTTGTTGTTGTTGTTGTTGTTTTAATGTAAAACCCTAATAGAGGCTACACTCTAAAAAAAGATGTCTCGATACTGATTTTCTGGAGCTCAGCCATCCAACTACACAGACTGTCAACACACTCTCAAAATGCAAATGATTTATTTCTTAAAATGTCTATAATTTTTAACTTTCAAATTATAAATGGTTTCCTACCAATCATATATTTTTCTCTTTTTAGTTTAGGAGAACATGTAAGTGTCACCATCTCTGTTCAGGTAAGGAGGTAAGGATAATTCTCTCCTCTTCACCATCACCACTAAGTAAAATAAAGATATTGAAATTATGGTCCATATTGTTAGATTTTTTTGTGCATAAATATACCCAGTCACAGCTATCCCATGGCTTTACGTTTTCTTTTTAACACTCACATACTACTTTTGGCCTTCATAAACAATTGTTTTTACATGGAAGGAGACACATTGTAACTCTAAACTCAATAGTGCATTTCAGATGCTGTCATATCCGCAACCTCGTCATCTGCAGAGAGAAACTGCCACTCAATCACATCAAAATACCAAAAGTCCAAAATGATGGACTTAAAGGCATCAGATTGTGAAGAGACAATATTTCACTGGAACTTGGACTTTATTATACTATTTTCTTGTTCTGTTTTGTTTTACTTTAAGTATTTATTTATGTTCGATGTCAATTGTCATTAATTAATGTATTCTACTAATAACTGTTGTTAGAGCACTGTCATTTTTGCTACAATTTCACATGTCATAAAAACAAAATTGAAACTACATGCTGTTGTTGGTGTTTTATTTTTAAAGGTAACCCCTAATAGAGGCTGCAAGATATTATAAGACCAGGCAGATAGAGGGATAAAAAACAATATTAATAAACAATATATACAAATAAAATTAATAATACTTTATATATTAATGATATAAATATACTAATATGCTAATTTTTATGAAAATAAACAATCATTAAAAATGTTATTTATAACACCATTAAGGTCCAATATATCATTTTTCAAAGCATGGTTCTTTATGGAACCCAGACATATTATTTCTATGTGTAAGATGATGTATAATATTTTCGGTTTTGATTTCTTGGAAATGCTCTGCTGTAATCAACACAACCTCCAGATCAATTCTTTGCATAACAGCCTAGCAGTTGTAAGGTCATGTAAAAATGTAAATATAAAGCAAATGTTATATTATTAACTTCAAAGGTTTATCTACTGAGCTCAGGTGCAACTGTGCAATGTTGTTTCCATGACAACGTCACAATAAGTCCGCCTGTGGCTTTCACACTTCAGGACTTGTTCCAGCGAAAAGGTTTTCACCTGGTTTCATAATAAAATAGTTTCGTTTGAACGACTTTGAAGAATTGCTGTATAAGCTGTTTTAATTCTCTTTAATAGGGAAGTATTGTATTTTGTGGCATGCAAGCTTTTATTTGGAAAATGGGCGGGAAAAACTACAGTTTTCTCCCTCTCCCTTTCTTCCCGTAATTTTTCCAGAAATTATAATGACCACAGACAGAGATAGTGTGCTTTGTCTAGCACTTTACTCGTGTATGTTTTATAATAAGGCAATGCATCAAGCACACAGCCTGAAAGCTGACTTGTTGCCTTGCTGCCCTATAAGCCAATGATTCACAGCAATGTTTGTGTTGGAAGCTACCTCCCAAAACTGATTTCAGACAAGCTTCTGAGGCAGCATAAGGGTTTATGATCTACAACAAAATAGTGAGTGCTTTGATGATAACCAAGCAAATATTTAATTACCACAAATATTAATGTCTTGCTAGAAATCAAGCCAAAAGTTGAAAAATGTTCAAAAAAGAAAAAAACTTTCTAACTACAGAATCACATGCACTGGCTAGCGATATATCATAGGAAAGGATACAATATGCTGCCTGCTCTGGGTTGAGTTCATTGGGTTAAGAAGTGCTTTGTTTCAGATGCAGCCATTATATTTTGTCGTTAGTCACAGTCACAGTCTTTCATAATGTACAGACTTCCTATTTAGGTTTGGGATGAGGAAAGAATTATTCTTTCCTGTGTGATGTCCGCATCACTCCCTCGCTATATAAACTCTCTTCAGTTCCTCTCACATTCAGAGGCTGGCAATGACAGAGTTTAAGAGCATTCAGGACTCCAGCAGCAGCTCACAGAACAATCTTTACTGTGTACTAAATGAGGACATTAACAAGAAACCATCACACACATGGAAAGGTATGGCTTATACCAACCTGCATTACATTTAGTGAAAGCTTTACCTGTAGTTCATACATTAAAAAATAAAACTTAGTTAAGTACTTACTGAAGACCTCACAGTTGTTCTCTGTCTTTCTAATCTGGCTAGAGAGTAACACCTAGAGTTATTCAGTGAATATTGTTCATGTTTTGGACTTTAGTTGAAGGCTTTGATTTTTCCTCAGATGAAGTAATAGCCTTTAAATGTGGATGTGTAATCATATCAGTATAAACACATTTGGAAACAGCTTGTAGAATTCAGCGTTGTTCAGTCAAATCTATTTAATCAAAAATCTCTGATTTTTTTAACAAATATTATATTCCTAAAAAATTAAATGTAATGTAAAAAATGTAATGTATTATTGAGAGAGCAAAGAACAATAATAAATCTTTGATTGTAAATGAGAACATAAACAGTAATTCACCTCTCTGTATTATCTACTGCAGGTCGCTTTTGGAATAAACAGTTTTGCTTTCTTCTGATGTGTGGCGCTGTCATACTCTTCATGGCTCTGTTAATCACAGTATCTGTAAAATGCAGGTTTCACAGATGCTTTGATTGTAAACTTTATCATCTACAATAAACACAGCAGCCAGACCATGATTGTTTTTTTTTTTTCTTTTTTTTTTTCTAAAAGCTCCATTAGTTGTGATTTTGATCATGGGAGAATTAGTCATTAAAAACTAAGTGTAAATAGGAAATACATGTGCCATAATAAACATGTCTAGCAAAGGCTTTGCTCAAGTTATGCTATGTGCTTAGAGTTTTTGTATCGTTTTAACCTCATTTTGCAAACTTATATTTGTGTTCTTCACAGTGCAGCACCAATACAGTAAACTGACTGAGGTAGAGAATGAAGTGGCCAATCTGACATCTTCTTTAGCATTGCTTTCTTCAAACCAACAAGACTTGAGTGAGATTTTACATTAAGATTTATGTTTCATAGAGCATTTTATAATTACTTTAATTGTTCATTAAATACTTGACTAGCATAGTTCATTAAAAGCTTATGCCTTATTGTGAAAGTTATGTTCTTAGTGTTTTTTTTTTATCGTTTTAACCTCGTTTTGCAAACTTATGTGTCTGTTCTTCTTCACAGTGCAACACCAATACAGTAAAGTGACTGCGGTAGAGAATGAAGTGGTCATTCTGACATCTTCTTTAGCTTTGCTTTCTTCAAACCAACAAGATATATGTAAGATTTTACCTTAAGATTTATATTTCATATAGAACTTTATAATGACGTTAATTGTTCATTAAATACTGCTTAAACCGGTAAAGCACATGTTCAAACATAAATGAACATACTTTCTAACTAATGTAATATTAGGCAACATTGTTCCGAATATGATTAGGAGCATGATATTGTTTTGATACACCAGTGCAATGGACAAGAATTAAAGTAACTTGCATTTCAGAGACATGTTGCCAGTTTCTTTGTGTATTTTTGCTCCAATAACAAAAACATTACTAAAATAAGTCAAACCAAGAAACAACCTTTGCCTCTCTGAGTAAAACACAGTTTTGTGGAGTTTTCTTTCTGAACGAATCAGTTATTTTGAATGAATAGGTTGATAATGACTCAATGATTCACTCATAAAGACAGCAAGTCATTTATTGCTACCTACTGGTGTATCGATGTAACTTACTTTAAGTACAAAATGATGTTTTCATACCCTAAAAAGTCCAGAAAATGTTTGAATTTAACAAATTGAATTTAAAGCCTATTTATGGTAAAAACAAGAAGGAACATGAAAATGTGAATGCTTAGTTCTTGTCTGTGTACAGATGACAGATTTATGGAGATGGTCGCTGAACTGAAAGCTGATCTGAATAGCAGAATAACAAATTTGACTCAGCATAAGCAGTATCATTATAAATTATTAATGTATAGGCATATATATATAACACACACACATATATATAACACACACACACACACACACACACATATATATATATATATATACATATATATACACCCACACACACGCATATATATATATATATATACATATATATATATATATATATATATATATTACACAGCTCTATCCAGCTAAATTTGT